AGAATTTTATTTTGGACGTATAGCCAACCCTTGTTAGCATTTAAACATTCTTATTGTCTGTTAACGGCTAAACAGTTGATTATTAACATTGCTAGTTAATGAATATTTGATTATTTCCGTGATCATGCAACAAAGATAATTACCGTAGTTCCTGAATTGGGTGTTAGTCTACTTCAGTGTAGTTCAGTAGTACAAAAGGTTATATGAGAAATACATTTCAATTATAGTGATTATAATTTTACTGATATATCACATTCAAACTATCCAGTTCTGAGTGAGGGTGAAACTGTAACAGTAACAGTCCATAATCACGTAGGAGGTGCTTTTAGCTGTGGGAGGCACTTATTTCTAATGATTTCCAATTAGTTGAAAGGCAGTTGCGTGTTGTTAGTGGAGCCATTTATGGTGCATCGCATGTTCAGGAACTACATGTTGCTCTGTCACACAACTCACACCTGCAGTCATTGACTGTCAGAGTGTCCTGTGCATGCATTTGCTTGACATCTTCAGTTAAAGGAAACATTGTAGACAGCCGGTTGTAGAGTCAAGAAAAACAATATTTAATCTGCTGTTAGCGAAAAAAAGTGCTCTGTGTTTCTTTTGATCTATTTTGATCAAAACAAAAGTGGCTATTTCTTCCATTAGATCTTTTATACACAACTGAAATGGCAAAAATACTAGTAATGCTAGTTTCTGATCACAATAATTGACCAACAGAGAATATAATGATACGAATAAGCTGCATCAGACCGCTCAAATGGATGCTTGTTTTTTCCATAAATAGTTAATGACATTAGCTGATTTCATTACCTTTGTGAGCTACTGTAAGTGATTGACAGCCCCGGAGTGTGTGTGTGTGTGTGTGTGTGTGTGTGTGTGTGTGTGTGTGTGTGTGTGTGTGTGTGTGTGTGTGTGTGTGTGTGTGTGTGTGTGTGTGTGTGTGTGTGTGTGTGTGTGTGTGTGTGTGTGTGTCAAATCACTGACTCAAACCGATCTGTATTCAGCACGAGGCATACGGACAGTGTTTTCTAACAGATGTTGTGTCGTGTCTCTGTCCCAGCTGACAGCGCAGCAGATTGCCATCCAGCAGCAGCTCCTTCAGATGCAGCAGCAACATCTCCTCAACCTCCAGAGACAGGGCCTGCTGTCCGTCCTACCCAACAGCCCCATCGCACTCACAGGTACGCTGCTTACACTCATTACTGCCTAGCTTTTTTTTAAAAACACCTTGAAATGCTTTCAGGTAACACCACCGAGCCAAGGAGTCTGTTTAAATGTTGAAACCTTGATCCTTTTAAATGTTAAACTGACCAACTTATATCAATAATGGTAGCCTTATAACAGAAACACCTCTTCCAGTTGATGGGTTTTATTGAAAGACTGTCTGCTTTAATTTAAGCTAACTGTACATAATAAACTCTCCTTAAACTAAGAAGTGACTCATATAAGCGTATAGTAGGACCCGGGTGTATTTTAACACAAGAATCTATTTATAAATACTATTTCAGGCTGTGATGGTAGCACTCTGTCCACCGGTGGAGACCCCAGAGAGTCTTCCAGTCAACAATCATCTACCAACGGTCTTCACAGTTTGCTGAGGAGGAAAGAAAGGTACTGCCCTGTCAGAGCTTCAGTTTCTATGAACCCTGTTTTTATTGTGCTTGAGTTGTGCCAACATGTTGTCTCTAAGAAGTATGACTAATATTTGAACTTTGTATTCGTTGCAGCGGGTCACTGGATCTGGAGATCACACAGAATAGCCACGCCCTCTATGGAAACGGCATGTGTAAATGGCCCGGCTGTGAGACTGTGTTTGGAGACTTTCAGGCATTTCTCAAGTGAGGGAAAAGTGTGCATTCCTCTGAAGCTGGCGTAATGTTTACTTAATGATATAGTCATCTAGACACATGAGCCGTAAATCGTTTCCTCTTATTTTACAATCATTTATTTATACCCCTGTTTGTTACGTTAAGCCCTGTGATGATTTTAATATTAGTGAGTTGAAATCAATATCATTTTAGATCTAATTATTACGATTACTTGCCATTATCCTCTTCGTATTTCGTAGAGTGTGAAACAATTTTGTATGCATTTGTCTGCAGGCATTTGAATGGTGAACATATACTGGATGACAAGAGCACAGCACAGTGCCGTGTGCAGATGCAGGTGGTTCAGCAGCTGGAACTGCAGGTATGCTTAAGAATGATTGTTTAGATTTTTTGTTTTGTTTTTATATTTCTCATTTTAAAATTAAATTACAAAAGGGAAAATATATTTTTGATTGAATGAGAGTGACATATACAGTCCTCTTTAAGACTATTGCCAAAGAAAGGGAAGAGTTTTTTTTATAAACTCTGACAGGAAGTGTTAGCAGTGGTGGTTTGTTTTCGCACCAGGCCTGGAAAGTAGAAGTGAGTCTCTATAGATAATAACACTTCTCAGGATGCTAGAAGTATTCCCACACCAAAATGTCATTTCCTTATTTAACACAAGCTGTGAATTCAGCAACTCTCTCACTTCTATTTCTGTGTCCCGCTCTATCGCAGTTGAAGAAGGACAAAGAGCGGCTGCAGGCTATGATGGCTCATCTCAAGTCCTCTGAACCCAAACCCACAGCGCAGTCTGTAAGTACCTGCTGCAACTGCTTCCTTCAATTACGATAAATATTGCTTTGTCTACGGTAACGCTGACGTTCTGTACATAACTGCTTTGTTTTTTTCAGGTGAATCTGTTGCCTCTGTCCTTCTCCCAGGCAACAATGCCCAAAGGGCCTCCTCAGATGAGTTTGTCTCAGAGTGCCACGGCTCCCTCCACCCCCCTGACGCCGCTCTCTGAATCCCCCTCGGTCCTCACCCCCAACAGCATGTTCACTGGGACCCCCGTACGGAGGCGCTACAGCCGCTCCGTCAGCCAAGGTAACGGTGAGAACATTTTTCATTCTTCTTTTTTAACTGAAACATGTCTCTGCAAAGATGAACACGTGTCTAAGAGACACAGAAAAGTGGCTTATAAGTTGCTTCTATTTTCCTTGAATTGGAAATGTTATCATCTTTGTTTCATGCTCTTTCTGTGTATATGAATAAATCTAGTTTTTTTATGTCTTTCCACAGATATAGTTGATAATAAGGAGTTCTACTTAAGCACAGAAGTTAGACCTCCATTTACATACGCATCCCTCATAAGACAGGTAACATTCACTTTCTCTCTTTTTAAACTTCCAACGCATAAAGAAACAGAAATAGATGTTTTAATATCTCATTGCTCTTTCTTTCTCTATCAGGCAATATTTGAATCTCCTCGCAACCAGCTGACGTTAAATGAAATCTACAACTGGTTCACAAGAACCTTTGCATATTTCCGGCGTAATGCAGCTACTTGGAAGGTATGAACTGAGTTCATGTCTTTTAGATTTTCATCAAAAACCAGAAAAAGTCTCCAGAAACAGTTGGTTACATTTCATGTAACTACATGGATGCTAATAACTAAATAATTCCTTATTTTATTCTCTTCTTTAATCTTCCAGAACGCTGTCAGACATAATCTCAGCCTCCATAAATGCTTTTTACGTTTGGAGAATGTGAAGGGAGCCGTGTGGACAGTGGATGAGATCGAGTTCCACAGGAGACGACCTCAGAAAGCTGCTGGTACCGGGTACGTTCGCTATCACCCTGGGTGGTTTTTAGATTGAACTACAAGTCTGATAAGCAGGCCATTTCTGACCTTCAAGCCCCACCTGATAAGTACACACAATATTTACTGTAAGCAAGTCCTAAGTCCACCAGCGCCACAAACAAAATTAGATTTGGTGTGTTCAAACAAGCAAATGGATGCCTTTGAGAACAAAGTGATATTTCCCACAACCTTGATCACTCAGAAACACTCCTGTCAGCAGGTCTTTGAAAACTTCACGTTATTGTGTTATTCTGCTTGTCATGTCTTGCCACGGTGACTCAGATGCCTAACTTGTGTTTATTTAATGAAACTAACAGACCTGGAAACAGAGTGTTTGTTTAGGCAGATGGTCACAGTGCCATAAGTTTAAGGATATCCCACTAAGTCCCACCCTCCTATGTTACTGTTCCTACAGTACACCAGTCAGGGAACAGCAGCAGGTTTCCCTCTTAAAATTCCCTCCCAAAACGCCTGTAGAAGAGGGCTTAAATATTCCTTTAATTGCTTCATGCATAATATCAAAGTAAAGAATATAAATGATCTTAACCATTGAATGAACCATGTAGAGATCATGGGGAAAAACTGTTCTTGTGCAGTGTAGAGTTGGGACTAGGATAAGTGAAAGTGAGAGTTCAGAATGATATTTCACTCATCTAACATTAACCTTTATGGCTGCTTCAGTCATCGAGCACCAAATATTGCTCTTAACATAGTGGCCGTTTCTCAATCGCGAGGATGCTGGCTTGGTAGCCCAGGGTGTCCGCGGGGTCTTAAAAAGTATTAAAAGTTGATAAATCAATTTAGCGAAAATTAAGGCTATTAAAAAGTATTAAACGGCATTTTCCAAGGTATTAAGAAGTCCCACAGCAACGACAACATGAAACACCCTTTAATTTACTGAAACGACATGTCGGGAAACCCCCTCAAGGCGGCCCCATGCATAGCGCGCCGTAAAATGCTGCTTCTTATTTTAAGTTTCGTTGCCTTGCTCCGCTCTGTGTGGGGGGGGGAATAAACGACTACGGTAACGGGTCCCAAGGTGGGTAGACCGGCATACGCAACGCTCTGGGGGTCCAACGGCTCCGTGTGTGCCCTATATGATCATTTTCTGATAACGATGAAATAGCCCGCCTCCCTCTCCCCATGTCTCCTGCTGCTGCTGGGCTGTCAGAAGAGGGGGAGGAAAAGAGAGGCAGGTCACCGTTTATTAAATATTATGTATACAGAGACAGAGTCTTTTATCAATTTTGTTTTAAAGCTCATATAAAACTAAAGTAAGACCTTTTTTTCTGATCCTGGTTACTTTCTAATTTTGTACGGTAATGATTTAAACTTTTAACATTTTTTACGGAAATGCGCCGCGACGGTTCCCTCGCTCCCTTGGAAGATGTCTGGTAGAGTGGGTGTTTCATCTGCTGGGTGGACTACTCTGATGAGATTTACAGCAGGAGAACACGCCCCACCGCGGAGAATAAACAGGAAGGGGGCAACCATGGCAACCATGGCAGCCACTGCTCCGGGGTCTTGCTTCGCTGCTTGGGTAGTGTGTGTGGGTGTGGCGGGCAGCGGCACCGTACAGCTTCTTGACATATGTTACTAGTCATCGTGTTCCATGTATTTCCAGCGGGGGTCTAATGTGGACTACGGTACACGTTGAATGATCGATATGCGTGTGAACGGAAGACTTTTTGCGTTTTGCGTATGCGTTTACCGTATGCGTCGCCTCATGGGGCCGGGGTCTAAGCCAAACTATATCCGGTCACAGAGATCTGCTATTTTAAAGTAAAGTCAACACATATTGACCCTAAATATAGTCTATATTAAGAACGAGAAAAGTCTTAACATATATATCCTTTTTTGTAAACATATGACAAATGTGTGAGGGTGATGACGTCAGAGCATCGTCTTATGTGCCAGGGCTTAGCCCCGGACAGCCCCAGCCCAATTTAACCCCTGGGTATTTGTGAGGGAGCTCCTATGGCATTACCCCGCTGAAGCTCACCAAAGTTTAACATATTTCATAGTTCAAAGTTTTGTCAATTGTTTTGTTTATTGGTCAAATACTGGTTTCTAATGGTTTCTGAGGAGTTTTACTGGAATGAAAGAGCACAGAGTCTACAGAAGCAAAAAAGTAGCATACTGCATTAAACCTGACCTTCACAGAGAGGTTGAAGTTCATGTGGAAAGGAGGCTTCAGTAGTCTGTCTGCACTCTGTTTAGTTTTGCTATCTTACAATCAATATAGTCAATGTGAGGTAAAGTGTGTTGCCAATGTAACCGGTTTGAACTCAAAGTTGCGATGAGGTCTTAAAATGTATGGAAAGGGTCTTAAAAAAGGTCTTAAAAGGTATTAAATTTGACCTCAGGATTCCTGCATATACCCTGTAGTCGCATACTTCCAAGTCACTTCCTTCAGAAACGAAGCCAGTATGCTTCCAAGCCACGGCTTCGGAAAACTAAGAAGAATGGAACAGACTAACAAGTGTGCCACTCTCTCTAGCAGTTTCAACATAAACTGTACCGAAAATAAATACCTCACCGATGTCTATCTAATTATGAACTTGCTTTACTTTCACGGAACACATTTGTGGTTATAACAAATGTAACAAAGTCACATATTTACCAACACATGTTCTACGCCACTACATACTTACATTTAAATGTGCGCTGCGTCGGTTCAGCCATTCTCCACAAGGGTTTTTGAAATTGGTCCGTGCGCAAAGCATCGTGGGGATTTTAAGGACGCGAAGTGTACCCATGTGCAGCCTCGAAATTTCCCCCAAACCAAGGACGCGGCCTCGGTGGAATTCCAAGTATGCTAGAGATTGGAACAGTACTTCGGCGGCACTTGATGACGTAGTATCCTTGAAATATTGGCTTGGAAGCCAGTATCCTCGAGATTGAGAAACGGCCAGTGCCAGCCCAAATCTATGATGCATATCTCGATCCCTTAAGGTGTTGATTCTAAATTAAATATAACTTTTTGTCGCTTTTCTCTTTATCTCTATTTATAGGTCCTTGCAGAAAAACTCATATAACAACCAGAGCGTATCGGGGTCTGCTCCTCAGGTAAGACTGACTTAAAGCCCTTTTTTTTTTCAATAAAAAAACTGAAATGTGTTAAATTGTTATACGACACTATTTGCCCATTATTCACAATGCTCATAATAGTCTGGAATTGTCTCGACTTTATCTGTCATGTGTTGCTGCAGTGTGATAATGCGAATTGTTACTTTTTTCAGAGTGGTGGTCTAGACGGCAGCAACTGTCTCTACAACCCTCTGGGCAGCATCCCATTTCACTCGCTGCCTCACCTCCTCCAGGAGCAGATGAATGGAGCCCTGGTTAATGGGTCTGGATACCAAAGTGACAGCAGCGCTACACAGTCCCCTCCACAGGCTTTGTAAGTGTCCTCTCCGGAGCTAAATGATTGAATGTAATTATGTGATCACAAGTCCTGATTACACGTTGTTTTCCCTGACACAGCATTAAAGAGGAGCAGGAGGATGAGGAGATAGGTGAAGGTTATCCCTACGAATCTCCGGAGAGCACAGACGAGCTCGGCCACAGCCCGGAGATGAACCACGATGAACACATGGAGATGCCCAATCTTCATTTCGATCGCGTGCCTTCTCTCTGACCACGAGGTCCAAGACTCTCCACTGCGAGGCCGCCTCACTCACAGCCTGTGTGACTTTATATTCCCAAAGTTTCCAAAAAACGACTGCTTCATCTACGTAACCAAACACTCTCTTCTAGGGGACATTTTTTATCATCATTTGTTTTATTTTGTTCTTAATCTAGTTATTTCTGTACAGTAGAGTGAGATCACAAAAACTTGTTTGTGAAGCTGTCTCTTAATCATTTTATATGTGTGTACACAAAAGGACCAGGATGAGCAGAGAAGCCAAAGGAAAGGGAACAAGGCTGGTTAGCACTTCACAATGAAAAGCTGCCCCCCTCTGTATTGCTACTTAATGCTATGTTGGGGCCCTCACTACCTGATTTTATTCTATTAGTCATAATATATATAAAAAAAATAAAAATGTAGAGGTAAAGAAAGAGGTTGCTTTTTAAATGAAATTATTCACTGCCAACATGATCTGATATTTGTATTTAAAGTATAATCAATTGATCAAAAGAAAACGTAGCTTCTTTATACTCGTTGGTCTTTTTTTCATTCCCTCCACAAACATTGCAGAATTCGCTCTTATCGAGCTTGTAAGAGTAGATAATATAGATTTAACATTGTTGTAAACCAATGCATCTCTATGAATAATAAATCCCTCATGAAAAATGTGTATACTGTTTGTGTCTTTTATCTATTTTTATGATTGCTTTGACGGTAAGCGGTGTCTCACATTATGGCGCCTAACAGCCCCACTTCTCTCAGTAATGGAAGAGAGAAAATGCTCTGGCTGGCAAATTTTCCACCGTGGTATGTTGACGTTTTTATAAACGTTATCGATTCAGCCGTTTACCGTCAGCAGATGAAGCACTGGTTGCGGCAACGTAATAAATTGCAGAACAATCATTACATATAAATGATATTGTTATTTGAAATCACTCGATGTAGGTGTTTGATAAGTGACTCGGCTTGACTTTCCATTGACATAATTGAATGGATCTGTCATACATTATGAATCGCAGATCTGTAGTTGCGCCTCCTGATAGGCGGGTATTGATTTATGTGGAGTGTTCTCACATTGTGGGTGTGTACATGATGACGGGAGGTACTGGAGCTCACAAAGGGGTTCACAGTTGCTGCTGCTACCGATCCCACTGTTGGATATTTAACCAGTAAAGACAGGTAAACTTAAAGTAAATATTTTTGACGGAATTAATAACTTTTAATAATAGGGTTGGTTCATTTTCTACCTTTGTATGCAGGCACATTTATTGCATTATTCTTCAGGAAAACAGGATGTTGTGATTTATTGCTGTCAGTCTTCAGTGAAGCTCTTTAGGTGATTATGATTATTCAGCATGCATGTGTCTCACTGTGTATTTTCTCCACTCTGCATAAGATGACCGCTCATGTACAGCTTCCTGTGAATAATCAGGATGGATTGGAGCTTGAGAAAATAGAGGACCGTGTGTGTGATGGTATGTTGTTTTTGTCTGATCAGGCTAAAATACCGCTTGGATTAAGTTATTGTTAGTCACAACCAGAATAAAACTGCATTGTGATTGATGGACGCTGTGGAGCAGTATATTTTCACACCGTATTCATTTTCCTCCTGCCCAATTCAATCCAGGAAACTAGATCCGAATAAAAGCTTGCAAATCAATAATCTCTCCTCGCTGAAGTTTTATTGAGCAAGCCTCCATTATGCGCTTCAGGTCTCACCTCCCTGAAATACTGCATGTTAATGGTGCTCTGAATTATTAAAACTGCCTCCTAGACTTAGAGGATGTGAGTAACTTATCCAACTTAGAGGATGTGAGTAACTTATCTAACATATACAAGACTGTGAGGGGAGCAGTCACTCCTCTTATGATTTTTTTTCACTAAATCATTCATTCTTTCAAAGGCAGCATCCCTCAGACGGTGATGGAGAATCCACACAGAAAGATGACGGGCAGGCCGGTCAGTGCAGTGTGCAGACTGAGCACCATCTCAGAGCAAGAACAAGACAAGCTAGACACCGATCCCAGTTCCAATGATCCCCTGGGTGGCAGTAAGTGGGGCGGATCCAGCTTCTCCCTGTGTTCGGACAAGTTGAAGAACAGCAGCAGTCATTTGTCCTCTGATGATTCATACCAGCCGGGAGGTGGAGGTACTGTTTATATTACTCCTTAAATACATCAATTGATGACATTGAAAATCTCTGAAACTGTAGTGTTATTAACAAGATTAGGAAGGGTGTAGTTGAGATTTATATTTATGTGAACTGGATGACTCTTTTTTGGATTTCACACTACGCAATTGTTTGAGAAATTTCGTTTTTTTCTTTCTTTGTAGACCAGTCAAATTCATTTAGCAATTGTCAATTCAATAATACAAGTAAATAATATCTTGACGAAATCAGAACACAAGAAGCTTGCATAAATAAAATAAAGATAATTAGATCAAACCAAAAGGTGGTCAGGCATGTTTTTTTGATGATAATAAATAAGATCTAAACGGGATAGGTATTTACACGGGTTTCAAAGGTATCAATGGAGAGTTAGAGCTAAACAATCTAATTGCTTGGAGGTGAAATAAGGGATGGGTAGTTCAGAAATAAAACAGTCAATGCTGTGCTTTAACAATCATACAAATTATCTTTAAATACAATATGTACTTCATTGGGAACGGATCACATTTTTTTAATTTTTCTTTTTTTTAAGTGTTTTGTGAAATGCTGTGGTGTTTTCTGAAATGCTGTAGTGTTTTTTGAAATGTCGTTGTGTTTAATTAAATGCTGTAGTGTTTTCTGAAATGCTGCAGCGTTTTGTAAAAATGTTAAGTGTTTTCTGAAATGCTGTAGCGTTTTGTGAAATGTTTAAGTGTTTTCTGAAATGCTGTAGTGTTTTCTGAAATGCTGTAGCGTTTTGTAAAATGTTTAAGTGTTTTCTGAAATGCTGTAGCGTTTTTTGAAATGTCGTTGTGTTTAATGAAATGCTGTAGTGTTTTTTGAAATGTCGTTGTGTTTAATGAAATGCTGTAGTGTTTTGTGAAATGTTGTTTTGACTTGCACTTCAGGGCCACTGTAAGAAAGCACATATTAAACAAAAAAATATAATGCTTTACGAAGAGCAAAACAAATCTAATTGCTGGGAGGTGAAATAAGGGATCGGTAGTTCAGAAATGAAACTGTCAATGGAGAGCTTTAACAATCATTAAAATAGTATTTAAATATAATCTGTATTTCATTGGTAACTAGTTTAATCATGGTCATAAATGTTTCCTCTTTTTCATTTTACCTTCTTCTACCTCGTCACTGCCTCCAGATGACTGTGCAGGACTTCTCCTCGCCTGCCTGAATTGTCGTTTCCATGAGTTTATGGTTCTCATACAGGATACATGCGAGAGGGCCGTGAATCGCTGTTTCCCCTCATACAAATACATCGCAGCGTTGAGTGAAAGAGATCAGCAGGGACAGGAATGCTGCAATTACAAGCTGGAGCTGGACTTTAACTGCTGTGGCTCCTGTCAGGATGCTGGAGAACTCATAGAGCTGGCCATGGAGATATCAGAAGTCTGCTATCGCTGAGAAAGGACTTCAAACAAAACCACAAACATTATAAATCGTGAATGCTCAACAAACCTAATTACTGTCTTGTCTTATATATGTGATGAATTGCCTGAATTGTTAGTTTGTTGTTTTCATGTTTATAAAGCACTGAATGGTTTAGGACCAAGATACATTTCTGATCTTGTGCTACATTATGAACCATCCAAAATTCTCAGGTCTTCTGGGATGGGTCTGCTTTCTGTCCCCAGATTCACTAAACTAAACATGGAGAAGCAGTGTTCAGTTATTATGCTCCATAGATCTGTCATTTGTCATTTCTAATGTTTCTGTTGCACTATATCTTAATGATTTTGTAAAGCACTTAGACCTGCCTTGTGAAGAAATGTGCTAAATAAATATACTTGCCTTGCCTCATGGGAAATGCATATGATCTGTAACTTTTGTGCTTCACCATTACTTCAGCAGGTAACAACTGCCACCCTGTGAAATCCTGTTTTGAGTTGGTTGTTAGATAAAAGCAAAGAATAGCTAATTTGTTGTCAAAGCCACACTTAAGAACTGCCCTGTGTGTCATGCAGGAGAGGAGAGTGTAAGTTGAACCGTTTCCATGTCCTCTTGACTCACATCCAGTACATTTTCAGTGTCACTCCATAAAGCATGACATGTTGCATATTGGATGTTAAAATCTAAGTTTAGAATGGAAATAGCTTGATATTATGCATTAAAGGGACTACACTATAAGGGACTACACTGTAATATGTATTATTAATAGGTTTTAGTTTGTCTCTTTTTCTCCAAATGTGTTTTTGTTTATAAAAAAAGTGTTTTACTTAAAGAGTACTTCGGAGATTCATTACTCTTTTTGGGATACCGTATTTAATAAAATCTCACAGTTGATCCAGCAGAACCAGAGATATTTGAGATATTCGACACATTTTCATCCTTATCTTATCAAATGTAGCCATGTACTTCCTTATCCCCACACCCTCAGATTTTGTAAAATGTTTGACCCAATTAAAGCTGCCTCAAATGACATCTCTCAATGCAGTTTGTGAGATTTTGAGTAGCTCCCCCTAAAGCCAATTAAAGGCATATACAACTTTTTTTCACATTTAGTTATAATATTACTCACCAAGACCCGTAAACGTAATTTGCTTTTTATAATCTATCGAGTTAACCGTTAAACTAAGGTTTCCAATTAATGATTCGGACCAGAGGCGTTGTCTCGGAAAACGCAGTAAAAACATTGGCATAAGCGCTAAGAAAGCTGACACTATTTACCTGAGAAGAAACAGGAGGCTGGTTGCTACATTTCTTCGTCGCCTTGGGTCGGCACGGGCACGGCAATATCAAGAGTAATGGTCAGATACTTCCAACCAACCCAGTCTCACGGCATTTTGTGTTATAGTCACGAAATTAATCTATTGATTCGTGTTAACCAACACGATTTCCACATTTGTTTTGTGTCACACGAAATCACGATTTTAAAAGCAATTGTAAATAATAACAAATTAGAAGGAAAAAAATATTTAAAAAAATACAGATTTCAGTATTCTGACACAGAACGATTTTAGAAGCAATGTATTTCTAATGATGTTTCGTGCCTGCACCAAATAATAACAAATTAGAAGGAAAAAAAGATTTAAAACATACACACAGCTTCTGGTCTTCCAATACCCGACCGGAAAAAAAAACGTGGTGCAGGCACGAAACATACTACCAATAGAAATACATTGGTTTTAAAATTGTTCTGTGTGACACGAAACAAATGAGAAAATCGTGTTGGTGAACACGAATCAATAGATTACATTTATTTTGTGACTATTACACGAAATGCCGTGAGATTGGGTTGCAACCCAACCAATACACATAATTAGCCTGTAATCAGATTACATCCCAATCAGAGGGAGAGCTATGATTCTCTGCTAAAGTAGATATGATTCCACTCTCTACCCATAGCAAATAGCTGATGGTTGCTCTCTTAAAAAA